CTTGGAGATTGAGGCTGCAATGAGCTGTGATGATACCATTACACTCCAGTGAGACCCTGTCTCAAGATAGATAAATAAATAAAAATTTTAAAGGCAGATTAAAGGCACAAATGGTGTTTCCAGAGAAGAGTTTAGAGGGAATCTTGAGCTTCCTCTTGGAGATATTTAGTGGTTTGCTTGCATTACGTTACAGGTGGGGGTGTGTTGTAATACTTTCCTGCCATAGAAGTGATAATTTGAGAATTGAAACCTTTTTTTTGGCCTGTTTTCTTTACCCCCAACTCATAGTACAGCTTTGAGAGAATCATAATACTTAAATAACTTTCCATGCTGCTGTAGCAACTCCTGTGAAATGATTTAAGGGAACTTTATATTTTTAAAAAATAATTTATTTATAGATATATATAAGTATTAAAAGTATAATAAAATTATGGACAGGAACTATTTTTAAAACTTAATGGTAGTAATTGTCTCTACAAAGAGAGATACATAAACAAAGCAAGTATACAAATGAGGCTTTAATTTTATCTGAAAAAAAAATTTTTTTTTTTGAGACAAGGTCTAGCTCTGTCATCCAGGCTGGAGTGCAGTGGTGCAGCCACAGCTCACTGCAGCCTCAACCTCCTGGGCTTAAATGATCCTCCCACCTCAGCAGCCCCCCAGTCCCCCAGGTAGCTGGGACTACAAGTTCACACCACCACATCCAGCTAGTTTGTGTATTATTTGTAGAGACAGGGTTTTGCCATGTTGCCTAGGCTGGTCTTGAACTCCTGGGCTCAAGTGAGCCTCCTGCCTCAGCCTCCCAAAGTGCTGGGATTACAGGCATAAGCTACCATGCTTGGTCTTAATCAGAAATGTTTTGTCTTGAGATATCTGACACAAATATGATAAAAGAGTAATCAAATTCTAGGTTTGGGGTACATATATGTATATCATCCTATTTTATATTTCTGTATTTTTGAAATTTTTATTATAAAACAAGAATAAGCAAAAACTTGCAGAAATGAAAGGAAAACTTGATTTTAAATTACAAATATCATAAATAGAAATTACACATATTTAGTAGAAAAATGAGAATATAGTAGAATTAGATAATGCTGTAAATAAACATATACACCAAACATATTTATAGGCAAACACATACACATACATGGAGAGAGATACTTATACACACACATATGTATAAGACACAGAGAGAACATTACATTTCTCATGTAGATAGTATAAATTCTCTGAATATATAAAGCATGTATATGGCCACAACAAAGAGCTCTTACACATTTGTCAAAAAATAACAAAATGGTCCTCAAAAAACTAAAAATGGAACTACTGTATAATTCAGCAATTTCACTACTGGGTAAATGTCCAAAAGAAAAGAAGTAAATACATAGAAGAGATATCCGCACTCGTGTTTATTACAGCACTATTTGTAATAACCAAAATATGGAATCAGTGGATGAATGAAGAAAATGTGGTACAGTACATATATACAATGGAATATTATTCAGCCACTAAAAAATAATGAATTCAACTAGTTGCAGTGACTCACACCTGTATTCCTAGCACTTTGAGAGGCCAAGGTGGGCAGATCACGGGGTCAAGGGTTCGAGACCAGCCTGGCCAAAGTAGCGAAACCCCATCTCTACTAAGAATACAATAATTAGCAGGATGTGGCAGCACGTGCCTGTAATCCCAGCTACTCAGGAGGCTAAGGCAGGAGAATCACTTGAACCCGGGAAGCAGAGGTTGCAGTGAGCTGAGATTGCACCACTGCACTCCAGCCTGAGTGACAGTGCAAGACATCGTCTCAAAAAAAGTAAAATAAGAAAAAATAAAATAATAATGAAATCTTACTCAAGTGTGGTAAGCATGCCTCTAGAGGCTGAGGCAGGAGGATCTCTTGAGCCCAGGAGGTTAAGGCTGCAGTGAGCTGTGATTGCACCATTGCACCCCAACCTAGGCAACAGAGCAAGACCCCATCTTAGGAGAGAAGAAGGGAGGAAGGAAGGGAAGGAAGCAAGGAAAGTAGGGAGGGAAGGAATGAATTCTGTCATATGCAACAACATGGATGGAACTAGAGCTCATTATGTTAAGTGAAGTAAGCCAAACACAGTAAGACAAATGTCACATGTTCTCATTCATATTTGGGAGCTAAAAAAAAGTGGATGTCATGAAAATAGCGAGTAGATGGGTGGTTAACAGAGGCTGGGAAGTGTAGGGAATGGGGGCATAGAGAGAAGTTGATTAATGGGTATAAATACACAGATAAAAGAAATAGTAGTGTGCCATAGATCAGTAGGGTGACTATAGTTAATGATAATCTATTTTATACTTCAAAAAAGTTAGAAGAGAATAATTTGAATGTTCCTAGCATAAAGATAAATATTTAAGGTGATGCATAACCCAATTACCCTGATTTGATCTTTATACATATGAACATGTCAAACTATCATATGTACCCTGAAAATATGTACATTTATTATGCATCAGTTTTAAAATAAAACAGGCAAAGGATATGTATAGACTTTACAGAAAAGCATATCCAGTAATGCAGTGTAGTTAACAAAATAAATTAAAAAAGAAAGAAAAGCATATCCAGGGCCGGCACAGTGGCTCATGCCTGTAATCCCAGCACTTTAGGAGACTGAGGCAAGCAGGTCATGAGGTAAGGAGTTCAAGATCAGCCTGGCCAACATGGCGAAACCCCTACTCTACTAAAAATACAAAAATTTGCTGGGCATGGTGGCAGGTGCCTATATTCCTAGGTACTTGGGAGGCTGAGGCAGGAGAATTGCTTGAACCCTGGAGGTGGAGGGGGCAGTGAGCCGAAATCATGCCATTGCACTCCATTCTGGGTGACAAGAGCAAGACTCTATCTCAAAAATAAAAATAAAAAAATAAAAATCCAGATAGCCAGCAAGTTCATGAAAGGATGTTAAGTTTACTAGTAGTTAGAGACACAAGTTAAAGTAATAGTGAGACACCATTTTAACCTTTTAGGCTTTCCAACACTTAAAGAGTAGGTGATCCTGAAAACATAGTGCTGAGTGAAAAGCAACAAATCTATGACAAGTCCCATGTATACAAATCAGAAGGCATGCATACAACAAACGTGTTAAAGGAAATACACAATGAAAAGTTACACATTGAACATTAGAATGGTTTCCTAGAATGGTGAGGAATGGGAGTGGGAAATGGAGATAAGAAAGTAACAGAAAAAATGAATGAATAAATAAACATAAAATAATAAAACTAGCTGTAATACCTATTGCTGGAAGGATGTAGAGGAAAACGAGCCTTCTAACACTACCAATAGAAATATAAAGTGTTTTCCAGACTTTCTGAAAAATAGCCTGACAATATATCCTTGAAATAGTGGTAATGCTTGTCAGCATGGGGGTCACTAATTAGGTGATCCATACTGTGAAATATGATGTGGCCATTCAAGGATCATCAGAACTGTGCTTAATGCCTTGAAGGGATTTAATTAGATATTGAATGGAAGATGGTGTAGAAAAGTAAGTGTACGGTGGTGGTCATTTGTGGGGAGACAATGACCCCTCCCCCACACAGGCCTTTCTCTGTGTACAAGCACAGAGAAAAATAAGAAAGAATATATGCTACATTGGTGTGGAGAGCTAAACTAATGGAGGGGGAGGAATAAGAGAGGAAACTGTAGGCAACCAAAAGTAAAAATTAAAATTGCACTAAAAAATTAATCACAGGTGGATGGGCATGGAGGCTCATGCCTATAATCCCAGCTCTTTGGGAGGCCAAGGCAGGCTGATCACAAGGTCAAGAGATCGAGACCATCCTGGCCAACATGGTAAAGCCCTGTCTCTACTGAAAATACAAAAATTAGCTGGATGTGGTGGTATACACCTGTAGTCCCAGCTTCTTGAGAGGCTGAGGCAGGAGAATTTCTTGAACCCGGGAGGCAGAGGTTGCACTGAGCCAAGATCTCGCCACTGCACTCCAGCCTGGGTGACAGAGTAAGACTCAGTCTAAAAAAAAAAAAAAAATTAATTACAGGTATAAGATCACAGTCAGTCATGAATGTAAAATTTTGTATATGTGGGGATATTTGTACACAGAAATTAATAAGATTTTTGTTTGTTTAAAGTATGAATTTTTCAGATGGTTGAATTTCAGTCCACAGATAGATATGTTGGTCATAAGATTCTTGGTTGTTGTTGCCTGATAACTCTCCTCTCTGCATGTACAATGCCGGCACTAAGTTTGATATCTCTGTGATTTGTATTATTTGCAGAATCTTTGTGGTTATGGTTCTTTCTCTAGTGATTTCATTATACACGTAATTTTCAAGAAAAATAGTGAAAACAAGTTTGCTGGATTAACAGATAAAACTTTTCAATTAGTGGGTCCCAGTATAATGCTTATTTAGGAATATGTGTCTTAGGAATTAGAAACTTAGGAAAAACACTCTTGTTGGTCATTTAAAATGCATTTTGGTACATGAGGTATGCATTAAAAAAAATTTAGAGGAAGAGCATCTTGTCCATAATTTAATGCAGACTAGGCTTTTGAAACTTACAGAGCTAGAGTTTTAAATATAGTATTAATGTAAGATGTATATACTTTTTATGAGACAGGATCTTGTTCTGTTGCCCAGGCTGGAGTGTAGGGGCACAATCACAGCTCACGGCAGTCTCAACCTTCTGGGCCCAAGTAATCCTCCACCCCTCAGCCTCCCAAGTGGCTGGGACTACAGGCCCACACCACCATGCCTAGCTTATTTTTTTATTTCCTTTTGTAGAGACAGGCTTTCAGCATGTTGCCCAGGCTGGTCTTAAACTCCTGAGCTCAAGCAATCCTCCTGCCTGGGCCTCCAAAGTGTTGGGATTATAGGTGTGAGCTACCATACACGGCCAAAACGTACACTTGTATGAAAGGGCTAAGTGCTAACAAATAGCATTAAGACAAGTGTTAGGAATCAGTGCAGGCCCAATGTGATTTACTGTATTGTATTTGTATTTCAGATGCCTTTGGTGCTTCATGAAGAATATTTCCAGATATATCACAGACATTAAGCCTTTGCCTCCCAACATAAAAGATAGACTGATTAAAATAATGAGCATGCAGGGGCGGATAACAGACTCAAATATAAGTGAGGTAAGAGTATGAATAACTGTAAAGCAAGTGTATTATATTTTCTGTTTAGATATGCTTTTAGATTTTTGGAACAATGGTATATGGTAAGACTGGTAATCATTTTTAATTTTTTTTGTTTGTTTGTTATAGGATCTTGCTCCGTTGCCCAGGCTAGAGTACAATGGTAGACTCTCAGCTTACTGCAGTCTCCATTGCCTGGGCTTAAATGATTCCTCTTCAGCCTCCTGAGTAGTTGGGACTATAGGTGTTTACCACCATGCCTGGCTAATTTTTTGCATTTTTTTGTAGAGATAGGGTTTCATCATCTTGACCAGACTAATCTCAAACTCCCGAGCTCAAGTGATCCACCTGTCTCAGTCTCCCAAAGTGCTGGGATTATAGGTGTGAGCCACTGTGCCTGGCCCACATTTTAGAATATTATAAAGTATCAGAGTTTGTTTTATTTCCTCCAGATAACCAAAATGTCCACATGTAACAGTTCCTAAAAAATCTCCTTCCACTATTGTCTCAGTCACTTCTCTCATGTCAACCACAGTCACGGAGACTGAAAATCCAAGCAAAAAGGTTTATTGGTGGTTTTAGAATTGCAATTCAAGGAACACAGACTCCACAGGCATCTGAAATCATGTCCTAACTATTTAATTCACATGTCCTAAGAGATATATGAGGTCTTTTAAAGAAAAAGATGGGGAAGGATTATCAAACAATTCATTAGTTAGAATAAGGGTTTCTAGGCAGAAGTCCTTGATTTGGGGGTTTGGAAAAAGTTCAGTCATCAGCTTATCATAGTCTTTTCATAAGTAGCAGCAATTTCATCTGCAGCATCAGCAAGTACATTCTACGGTCAAGCAGCTGCAGAATGACATTCAGGAAGTAAATGATGTTGCTCTGATCAGCTCCCATTAGCCTTCTATGCACGCTTGTTTTCGTGGTACCTGTACCCTTGACCTCCATGTTTTCAACAAGTTGTAAAACTTTTTGGTCAAGACTCACATAAGAAATATATGTTACACTGTGACTCTAGTACACAAACCACACTTACGTGTAACAGTATAATGTGTAGTACATTTGGTCTTTTCTATTTTATTTTTTCTACTTAGTCTTATTTTATTTAAAAAATGTTGATCACAGTCTGCTAAACTGATTTTGTAATCCATTCATAAATAATGACCGGTAGTTAAAAATCACTGTTCTCAAGCAGTGGCTCATGCCCGTAATGTCAGCACTTTGGGAGTTTGAGACCAGCCTGACCAACATGGAGAAACCCTGCTTCTACTAAAAAAAAAAAAAAAAAAAAAAAAAAAAATTAGGCAGGTGTGGTGGTGCATGCCGGTAATCCCAGCTACTCAGGAGGCTGAGGCAGGAGAATCGCTTGAACCCAGGAGGTAGAGATTGCGAGAGCCAAAATTGTGCCATTGCACGCCAGCCTGGGCAACAAGAACAGAACTCTGTCTTTAAAAAAAAAAAATCTATCACTCTTCTCATTTATACTGTTCTTTTTTCAACTGCTATATTTTTCATATTTAGTATTTCCAATTTACCATTTTATGGTTTCTTGTTTTATCTTGTTAGTCTTTTCTCATTTATTTTAGCATACTATTATGCTTATTAATAACTTTAGCCCCTGTGTTCTAAATCCTCTGCTCCTGATGGAATCAGTAATCTTTGTTTTTCTTTTGAAATAGTGATACTCTCTAGGTGTCTTGTTCTGTCCTGTGAGCATATCTGTGTAGACTCTCTGGTAGTAGCAAGAGTAAAGGAGGCTAGATCCTCCCGTGGTGCTTCTTGGAGGGCTATATGTTCTGGGCCATAAAGAAAGGCAGACCTATAGATTATCTGCTTCCTCTTTTTATTTATAAACAAGACTGTATTAGCCCTACTGAGCTGACATAGCAGGTGGAGGCCTGGCGAGAGGCTGGAGGGATGAGCTTCAAGGCAGAGAACCCCAAGCACCAGGAAAAGACAGTTAATCACTCTTCCTTCTGCTAAACAGCCTTTCATATTAGGGCTTAACCTTCAGCCCCTGATTTTTAAAGGTTATTAAATAACAGAGTAGATAATTTCCTTTGCTATTACTCCTGTGTTATCTTTTGTTTTTTTGCTATTTGTGTTTCAAAAACTGAAAATGCTAGTTAGCAATTTCTACACTACCTATATTTAAATATTGTCTTTGGGTTTGCAGCCATCACCACTCTGCAGTCATCACCATCTAGTCTGCAGAGACTAGAACTCTAATTGCTGTTGAGGGTGAACAGCAACTATCCGGGCTGGTGAAATGGTGGGAAAATAATTTACCAAGACAGTTATAGGTAAAGAAAGGCAGATTTATTAGAGAAAATATGAAAATACATTGCAAGGGAGCAACGGGCAGAGCCAGCAAGAGAGGAGCCAACTGCCAGGAGACAAAGGCTTGCTGGGGATTATGCAGAATGGAACTTGGGCTGATTGACAACACCAAGGTAGCAGGGAGCTAACTGGCATCCTTCTGTCAGCCGAGGTGTTTGGTGATAAGCAAGAAGTTTGTAAGTTACTTACTTGTCTGCACAGGAGGGCTATATGTTCTGGGCCACAAAGAAAGGCAGACCTATAGCTTATCTGCTTTATGTTTTTATTACCCTGGTCCTGCCAGCCTGACTTCTTTTCCATAATTAGGACTCCACAATTTCTCTGACTTCACCTTACCTTCTACCTAATGCCCATAATCAAAACTAAAATTAAGCAAGCTCTGATGATAGCACTCCAGCATGTTTTTCTGTGGTGGTTGGTTGTTTGTTTGAGGCAAGATCTCTGTCACCCAGGCTAGAGTGCAGTGGCATAATCATGGCTCACTGCAGCCTCCACCTCCTGGGCTCAGGTGATCCTCCCACCTCCTGAGTACCGAGGTCTATAGGTGCCCACCACTACACCCAAATAATTTTTGTATTTTTTGTAGATACAGAGTTTCACCATGTTGCCCTGGCTGGTCTCAAACTTCTGGACTCAAGCAATCCGTCCACCTTGACCTCCCAAAAATCTGGGATTACAAGTGTGAGCCACTGCCCCAGCCCACATGGTAGAGCATGTGACTAGCCCTGTGACTTGACATTGGAATTGCACTTCAACCTGTCCCTAACGTTTCTTCTGCATTAACCTGATATACCTTTATTATAATGCTTTTTTTTCTTCATGTTAGCTTGCATTTGAACATAGACATCTTAGTGGTGTAGTTTGCTTGGCTCTGTGGAAGTAGAATCATATTTCCAGGTTCTTATTGTTGGTGGTTCTGTTGAAGTATGTAATGTTATGTGTGACTCATAGATGAACCATTATGACACTGTGGAAAAATGGTGGTTTTCTTCACTTTTCCACCATCCTCATTTCTTTCTATCCCTTTAGCTTACACTTCAATGACTTAGGTTTTTGTTTGATGGCAATCCCTACCATTTTTGAAACCTTATTTTAGCTGAATAAAAAGGAGAAGTAAAGAGAGTGAATGAGCTAGAAAAACAAGACATGATTTTTCTGGATATTCTCCCTCTAGTCTCTACCCTTAATGAGAGTCCTGCTTATGACATTATTCAAAAAGCCAGATACAACATCTGTTACAAAGTTACACACATCTTTGGATGGCTGTTTTTGAAGTATTTCCTAAATCTTTTTATACTGTCTGAATGGAGAAGTCCTTTTTAAACAGGATACCAAAGTTGGAAACCAAGAAAAGAAGACATGGATGGATTTGATTACATAAAACTACAGATTTCCTTATGGCAAGAAGAAAAAAGAAACAAAGTCAAACACTTGGAAAAATATTTACAATATCTATGAAAATCTAAGGGCTTTTTTATCTTGACAATATAAAGAATTCCTTCAAACCAATAAGAAAAACAAAACAACCAAATAAAAAACCAGAAGAATCAGGAAATACTCAGAGGAAAAAATACAAATCTCCAATAACATATCAAAGGATATTTAACCTCACTAGTCATCAATGTGACAGTTTGCCTTTCAGTATGGCAGAGACTTAAGAAAAAACCCAAAACCCAATGTTAGCTATAGTGTGGAGAAACTGTCACTTTTATGTCCTACTAGTGAGAGTGTAAATTGATTTTAAAATAACCTTTTAGAAGGACAGTGGCATTAACTGTCAAAAGATCTACAGATTTGCTTATTATTAACTCAACAATTTACGTCCTGTAGAAATCTCAGGAAGATAATAGAAAAGTACACAGGTATAGTCATTATAATATCATTTGTAATAATAAGCATAGTTTTGTATAGCATATGTTATAAGCAAGACACCTTTATTTCTCACAACATATCATCTGTTTTAATAATAAGGCTAGTGAAGCACAGAGAGAAAACTGAGCTTGATCACAATCATAGAGTTCCAGCTTGGGCAGTCTGCCTGCAGAACACATGTTCTTAATCACGGCACAACATTGCATCCGTAAAACAACCTAAATGTTCAACTCAAGTGTTTGCCAGTGCATTTAATAAGTTACGGTACTTGCTGAAAATGGAATAGTATGCAACCACAATCTATTGATTTCATAAAAAAGGGCTCATCTTATATGTGGTCTGATCCTGTTGTTCTTCAAAGAGTTTTTTAAACTCAAAAAAACATCAAAATGAATATATGCAGCCACAAAATCTTGTCCTTTACAGCAACATGGATGCAGCTGGAGGCCATTATCCTAAGTGAATTAATGCAGACACAGAAAACCAAATACCACATGCTCTCACTTATAAGTGGGAGCTAATCATTGGGTGCACACAGACATAAAGATGGAAACAATACACACTGAGGACTTCAAAAGGGAGGAAGGAGGGAGGGAAGCAAGGGTTAAAAACCTACCTGTCAGGTACTGTGTTCACTGTTTGGATGATGGGTTCAATTGAAGCTAAACTTTAGCATCACACAGTATATCTATGTAACCTGCACAGGTACCCCTGAATCTAAAATTTTTTAAAAATGAATATAATTTTATCTCTGGGTATTGGTATTATAGATAATTTTAGCTATAGGGGTTAAAAATATAGGCTTTGGAATTTAAAGGACCTGGATTCCAATCCTACCTCTGCTCCTTTTGGCTATGTTCTTTATGTAGGCTACTAGCTCTCAGGGTCTCAATTCCCTATTTGTAAAATGACAATGACCAACCCCTTAGGGTAGAAGAGAGAGAGAGAATATTAAATAACATAATATATATGACACTTAGTACCCTTCTTGGTAAGCACTTAATAAATAGAAATCCGTTATTATAACTTACTATAGTTTTTCTATATTGTCTGAATGTTTTTTGTTTGTTTTTGGTTTTGTTTTTGTTTTTCTGAGACAGAGTCTGGCTCTGTTGCCCAGGCTGGAGTGCAGTGGTGCAGTCTCAGCTCACTTCAACCTCTGCCTCCTGGGTTCAAGCAATTCTCCTGCCTCAGCCTCCTGAGTAGCTGGAATTACAGGTGTGCCACCACACCTGGCTATTTTTTTTTTTTTTTTTTTTTTTTAGTAGACATGGGGCTTCATCATGTTGGCCAGGCTGGTCTCAAATTCCTGATATCACATGATCCACCAGCCTCAGCCTCCGCCTCCGCCTCCCAAAGTGCTGGGATTATAGGCATGAACTACTATGCTTGGCTTATTGTCTGAATGTTTTACAATAATAATACATTATTTTTATTTTCAGAAAGGTGAAGCCATTTCTATTTTGGAAAAAAATAAAGAACAGAAAAATACTCCTAGGAAAGGTCTCAAAATGCTTAGGAATTAACCTATTTGTCAACCTTAAGAAAACACCCAATAATTCTAGAATTGTTTGTATTAGATCCCAAAAATAATGATATATGTTAGAAATAAAGCTTGGAGTTGTAAGGAAAAGTGAGTACTCAAAGGATTTTTCAGTAAAGTAAATTTACTTCTGTGTAGAAGGGTGCCTTTTGTAAGGCTGGCCACGAGAGCACCCCAAATAAAGGCGAATAGAAGCTTTTATTTCCAATGCAACTCTGTCTCTGTGTCCTTTCCCCATTGGCTGGGGTCGAACTGCACAATCTACACTAGACCCGATTGGTTAAACATTTAAACTACTTTAGATAAGGTGGACCCATGACGGTAGAGAGGGGAGAGGAGGAAGGGGTTGTCTGTGGTGGACTAGAGACTCAGTCTTTTTTTAAATAAGTGTAGGAATATGAGCTGGTGCTGATAACTCCATGGTGTTGTGGCAGGTCTAGGCATGCAGTAAAATCAGAAAGAAGAAAAGAAGAAAGTAGGGGGAGGTACTGGGAATTGAATAAAAGGTTGAGCAGGCTGTTTGAAGAGAAACCTTACGGACGGGCATGGTGGCTCACGCCTGTAATCCAAGCACTTTGGAGACCAAGGCGGGCAGATCACCTGTGGTCAGGAGTTCAAGACCAGCCTGACCAACATGGTGAAACCCCATCTTTAAAAAAAATAAATAAATAAATGAGAAACCTTGCCATATCTCACAGAAGGCAAATATTCTAGATAAGCAATTCTAGTGCTCTGTAAGCACTTGGTACACAAGTGATTAAAGACTCATACTTCCTAAGCCCAGAGGCTCATAGGGAGAGTCTCTAATGACAGCAGCTACCAGAGGATTATTACTCACTGCCACATTGGTTAAGCTTCTCAGGTCTATGGATCCTTTCCCTGAATAAGCCATCTCAGCAGTGCTTTTTGTCCCAATAAGGACTTTGCTAGCAGTGAAAGCTGCACCTCCAGCTGGAGGTTGACTTGGTTTTCTCCTGCTTTATGTGTCTGTCTCCACATGGATATACTTCTGTATTCTTTGCTGTATTTTACATCAGCCACTTGTCTGTTATGACCACCAAAACACTGAATATGGAATAAATGTATTTATAGAAAGAAATAATCGGCTAGCTGTGGTGGCTCACGCCTGTAATCCCAAGAGTTTGGGTTGGGAGGCCGAGATGGGCAGATCACGAGGTCAAGAGATGGAGACCATCCTGGCCAACATAGTGAGACCCCACCTACTAAAACTGCAAAAATTAGCTGGGCATGGTGGCGCGCACCTGTAGTCCCAGCTACTCGGGAGGCTGAGGCAGGAGAATTGCTTGAACTAGTTGAGGTTGCCATGAGCCAAGATCACAGCACTGCACTCCAGCATGGCGGCAGAGTGAGACTCTGTCTCAAAATAGTAATAATAATAATAATAATAATGATAAAATTTTAAAAAGAAACAATTTTTCAAAATCACTTATTTGTTACAGATTTTACATCCTGAAGTCCAAACTCTAGACCTACGGAGCTGCGACATATCAGATGTTGCTCTCCTGCACCTGTCTACCTGTAGAAAACTGAAGAAATTAAATTTAAATTGTTCAAAAGGGAATCGAACTTCCGTAACTTCAGAAGGTATGTTTATTAATACTGAGTACATTAGTAGATTACTATTCACTGTCTGGTAAAATTGTGGAGTAAGGGAGAAAATACGTCAAAAGAGAGTATGAAGATGTCAAAGAAATACGAATTATATTTATCAGTAAAAAGATTCAAAGAAAATAATCCACGTTAGAATTCTTTTTTTTTTTTTGGGGGGGACGGAGCTTGTTACCCAGGCTGGAGTGCAATGGCGAGATCTCGGCTCACTGCAACCTCCGCCTCCTGGGTTCAGGCAATTCTCCTGCCTCAGCCTCCCGAGTAGCTGGGATTACAGGCACGCGCCACCATGCCCAGCTAATTTTTTGTATTTTTAGTAGAGACGGGGTTTCACCGTGTTGACCAGGATGGTCTCGATCTCTTGACCTCGTGATCCACCTGCCTCGGCCTCCCAAAGTGCTGGGATTACAGGCTTGAGCCACCGTGCCCGGCAGAATTCTTGCTTATAATCAGTGCTCAATGTTAAGAAAGACACTGGGTAAGTCATTACCTTGTATTTTAAACATGTTTAACATAAACATGGGCCAGGCTAGGTGGCTTCTACCAGTAATCCCAGCACTTTTTTAGCTGGTAGGCTGGTGGACTGCTTGAGCTGAGGAGTTCAGCCAGCCTGGCCAGCACGGTGAACTGCCTCCCACCCCCACCGCATCTCTACAAAAAATACAAAAATTAGCCAGGCATGGTAGTGTACCCTGTAGTCCTAGCTACTTGGGAGACTGAGGAGGGAGAATACCTTGAGCCTGGGAGGTAGAGGTTGAAATGAGTCAAGATTGCACCACTACTCCAGCCTGGGTGACATGGGGATAGTCTGTCTCAAATTACTAAAAAGTAAAGATTAAATAAATCATGGATGCATATGTCTATATTTTAAATATTTTGCCTGGTATAGTGGAACAACAAATGGCCAGTTCATATTTTGTTAAGGTTTCTTCGATGCCGTATTACAAAAGAATTAATCATTAGATTAAATTTACCAGGCACTCTCCTAACAGTTTGTACAATGCATAGTTTTTTATAGCTAGACAGACTTCATTGTTCAATGTCACTATTAGATGAATTAGTGAATCCTAACCTTTTTCCCCCTCTATAGACCTTTTTTTCCCCAATATTGGGTTTGTATTAAGATATATTTTCCCTCAGGAATAAAAGCTGTGGCTTCATCTTGTTCATACCTACATGAAGCTTCTCTGAAACGGTGCTGCAATCTCACTGATGAAGGAGTCGTTGCTCTTGCACTCAATTGCCAGCTGTTAAAGATCATCGATTTAGGTGGCTGCTTAAGTATTACTGATGTGTCCTTACATGCATTAGGAAAAAACTGCCCGTTTTTGCAGTGTGTTGACTTTTCAGCTACTCAGGTAAATGACATATAGGCCAAATGTGTTTGCCAAATGTATTTTCATGACTAATAAGAACGTATAATAATTAGTTCATTTTGGTTTTGTTGAAATTATTGACTATTTCATGCTTTTATGGTTAAGTAATTGCAATATATTTTGGCACATTCCTCTCAAGTAACAAGGGTGGAAGGTATATATGATATATGGCTAAAACACACGTTTGTTGAATGGGAAGCAATAAGACTGTATCTAAATAAGTAATACATTTTTAAAAATTCTACTTCCATTGTCTGCTCTCATGGGCTGTGTTTCTTTTTCCCTTTGCTTAGGTATCTGACAGTGGTGTGATTGCACTTGTTAGCGGACCTTGTGCCAAGAAATTAGAGGTAATTTAAAAATAATTTTAAAGATAGTGGTGATTAAATTTTTATATTCTCCGAAATTATTTTTAAAACCTAGCAGATAACCAATGCTTTATCAGTTAAGTATTTTATGGACTTTTTTGGGGGAGGGGGTTTCTATCTCTTTATTGCCAGAGTTAATATAAACTGTTAAGGAAATAAAATAAAGGTATTTTAAAATAAAAACTCATTTTACTTCCAGTAAAATGTCTTATTTGCCAGAAGCTTTAGCTTCTAACAGATTTAAGAACCATCTCATTATGGATGAAGATTGTGAATATTTATTAGTCTAAATTTATAATAGGATTCCAAGTCTGACTGATATTTCTACCAGTAGTACTAATTCTCTTGCCATCCTTTCATTCTATTTTTCAATAGCCACATTGTACGATCATTTAAAAAGATTTTTTTTTTTGAGACAGAGTCTTGCACTGTTGCCCAGGCTGGAGTGCAGTGGCACAATCTCTGCTCACTGCAACCTCCACCTCCCAGGTTCAAGCAATTCTCGTGCCTCAGCCTCCCAAGTAGCTGGGACTACAGACGTGTGCCATCGGCTAATTTTGTATTTTTAGTAGAGACAGGGTTTCATCATGTTGGCCAGGCTTCTCACAAACTCCTGACCTCAGGCCATCCTCTTGCCTCAGCCTCCCAAAGTGCTGGGATTACAGGTGTGAGCCACCACACCTGGCCTAAAAAAGATCTCAAATTTGTGTACATCCTTTGAATTGAATGGCTAATGCACTTGTAACCTATTTCTAAATATATTAAGAAGTCTTTTATCCCAGGATTTTGGTTTCTGGAGGCTGAGGCAGAAGAATCGCTTGAACTTTTTCTTTCTTTTTTTCCTGTGGACCTTGCTGAGACAGAAATGGATCCTTTTCCTATTATGTATAAATCCATAAATAAGATATAGCATTGTTTTATATAGTTTCATAATATATATGTCCTTTTACAACTTGTGTTATTCAGAATTATGTTTTCTGAAAATTTTCAGGTGTAACTGAGGTATAATTTACATACAAGAAAATTCATTCATTTTATGTGTATAATTAGATAAATTTTGGCAAATGTTATACAGCCATATAACCACTACCACAATTAATATATAGAACCTTTTCATCACCCTAAAAAGTTTTCTGTTTTCTCTGTGGTTTTCTTTTCTTTTTTTTTTTTTGTTTTTTGGTCTCTGGTCCTTTGTAGTTGATCCCCTTCTGTGACCCTCTCTTTGGCAACCACTGATTTACTTTGTCATTGTTTTTCCTTTTCTACAATTGTATATAAATTCAATTTTATATAAATGGAATTCTGCAAAATATAATATAGTATTTTGGTTTTTATTTCTTTCTTTTACTTCTTTCACTTAGCATAATGTTTGCAAGATTGATCCATGTTGTTGCATATGTTAATATTTCATTCCTTTTTATTGCTAAGTAGTATTCCATAGCATGGATATGCTATAATTTATTTATAATTTTACCATTCAGTGCAAAGATAAATAGCTGGGACTTAATTAAACTAAAGAGCCTTTGCACAGCAAAAGGAACAGTCAGCAGAGTAAACAGATAACCCACAGAGTGGGAGAAAATCCTCACAATGTACACATCTGACAAAGGACTGATATCCAGAATCTAGAACAAACTCAAACAAGTTAGCAAGAAAAAAGCAAACAGTCCCATCAAAAAGTGGGCTAAGGACATGAATAGACAATTCTCAAAAGAATATGTACAAATGGCCAAAAACATGACAAAATGTTCAATATCACTAATGATTGCAGAAATGCAAACCAAAACCACAATGTGATACCACCTTACTCCTGCAAGAATGGCCATAATAAAAAAATCAGGCCATGCATGGTGGCTCATGCCTGTAATCCCAGCACTTTGGGATGCCGTGGTGAGTGGATCACCAAAGGTCAGGAGTTTAAGACCAGCCTGGCCAACATGGTGAAACCCCAACTCTACTAAAAATATGAAAATTAGCTGGGTGTGGTGGCATGCACCTGTAATCCCAGCTACTTGGGAGGCTGAGGCAGGAGAATCTCTTGAACCCAGGAGGTGGAAGTTGCAGTAAGCCAAGATCACACCACTGCATTCAGGCCTAGATGACAGAGCTGAGACTCTGTCTCAAAAAAAAGAAAAAGAAAAAGAAGAAAATAATAGATGTTGGTATAGATGCAGTGAAGGGGGAACACTTCTACACTGCTGGTGGGAATGGAAACTAGTACAACCACTGTGGAAAACAGTGTGGAAATTCCTTAAAGAACTAAAAGTAGAACTACCATTTGATCCAGCAATCCCCCTACTGGGTATCTACCCAGAGGAAAAGAAGTCATTATATGAAAAAGATACTTGCACACACGTTTATAGCAGCACAATTTGCAATTGCAAAAATGTGGAGCCAACCCAAATGCCCATCAATCAACAAATGGATAAAGAAACTGTGTTTCTCAAAATTGTTCATATTGTTATTATAGATCTATGTTTTCATTAGACTTTATTTTCTTTATTTTTGCATAGGAGATTCATATGGGACATTGTGTAAATCTGACTGATGGGGCTGTTGAAGCTGTCCTTACTTACTGTCCTCAGATACGCATATTACTCTTCCATGGATGCCCCTTGATAACAGGTTAGTGAGATAGACTGCTTGGGTTCAAATCCTGGCTTCATCTTTTACTAACTGTGTGACCTTGAGTATATTACTTAACCCATTTCATTATTCAGTTTCCTCATCTGTAAAACAGGCATAATGAAAGTACCTACCTCGTAGACTTGGTAATGATTATCTGTGAATTCTTTATATGGTGGCCTTGCACATAGTAAGAGCTCACTAAATGTTAGTCATGATAAGGCTGGGCACGGTGGCTCACGCCTGTAATCCCAGCACTTTGGGAGTCCGAGGTGGGTGGATCACGAGGGTCAGGAGATCAAGACCATCCTGGCCAACATGTGAATGAGGTGGTGGTGGTGACTAGTGCTCAATAAATGTTAGCTATGAAGAGGATGATGATGGGAGCAATGGTTGTGTTCATGATATTGAACATGATGCTTTATATAAACAATAGGAAAATTTCAAATTTACAATATTACATCTATCAGATACACTAAATGACTTCTTAACTGTTACCAAACTGTAGACATTAAGATCAGAATAATTTGGACTCTTAGGCTAATGTGGCTCTTCACTGAAGGAGAACAAAGTAGCAATAGCTCATTTAGCCTGTATAAGAGCCATGGTATATATCCTCCTACCGTAGAAACCATGGCGCCTCACCCTTTCATATTACCCCTATAATAGATCTCATACCATAATATAAACTGGATCTCACTTGTAAATCAGTAGTTATGCCCAGTCATTTCTTTAATTCCAGCTCATTTCTTTAATTACAGTCTAAACAATTTTTTTTTTTTTTGGAGATGGAGTCTTGCTCTGTCACCCTGGCTGGAGGGCAGAGGCATAATCTCAGTTCACTGTAACTTCTGCCTCCCAGGTTAAAGTGATACTCCTACCTCAGCCTCTCAAGTAGCTGAAACTACAGGCCTGCACCACCATGTCCAGTTAATTTTTGTATTTTTGGTACAGATGGGGTTTCATCATATTGACCAGGCTGGTTTTGAACTCCTAACCTCGTGATCCACCAGCCTCAGCCTCCCAAAGTGCTGGGATTACAGGCGTGAGCCACCGAGCCCAGCCAGTCTAAACGATTATTCTGTAGGTTAAGTTATTATCCTGGAAGTTCCTTTGACAACTTCTCTTTCAGTTTTAGGAAGTTCCTTTGACAACTTCTCTTTTATTTTTAGGAAGTCCCTTTGACAGCTTCTCACTTTTATTTTTAGATTGCCAACCTTAACTGAGGCTGTAACCATCGATTGTATTTGGGTATCAGTGACATCTGTAGTGAAGATTAGATCTTACTTTATGCAAACATATTTCTTAAGAAACTAGAGCTAGCAAGGACATATTAGACACTGGTGGCTGGGTGCAGTGGCTTATGCTTGCAATCCCAGCACCCGGGGAGGCTAGGGCGGGTGGATCACTTGAGCCTGGGAGGTTGACGCTGCAGTGAGCCATAGTCATGCCACTGCACTCCAGTCTGGGTGACAGAGTGAGACCCTGTGTCAAAAAAAAAAAAAAAAAAGAAAAGAAAAGAAAAAAAGAAACTGTGGTTAACTCCACAGAAAGTTGTAAAGGGACAAGAGCAGGAAAACTGTCATTGTATACCCTTTTGTATCTTTTGAATTTTATATCATGTGAATTATTTTTAAACTATTAAAAATTAATTGGCCAGGTGTGGTGGCTGTCAGAACACAGATGATCCCTGACTTACAATGATCAATTTACAGTTTTTTGACTTTACAATGGTGCAAAAGCTGTATGCATTCAGTAAAGCCATACTTCAAGAACCTATGCAACCATTTTTTTCACTTTCAGTATAGTATTCAATAGATTACATGAGATTTTTAACACTTTATTATAAAATAGGCTTTGCGTCAGATAATTTTGGCTAACTGTAGGCTAATTGAAGTGTTCTGAGCATGTTTAATGTAGGCTAGGCTAAGCTATGTTGTTTGGTAAGTTAGGTATATTGAACCCATTTTCGATTTTGTGTATTTTTGACTTATAATGGGCTTATCAGGGTTTAACCCCATCATAAGTTGAAAAGCATCTATAGAGGTAAGGAACAAATACCAGTTTTCTTTTTTATTTTTTTTTGAGGCAGCATCTCACTTTGTCACCCAGGCTAGAGGGCAGTGGCACAATCTCAGCTCTCTGCAACCTCCACCTCCCGGGTTCAAGCACTTCTTCTGCCTCAGCCTCTGGAGTAGCTAGGATTACAGGCATGCACCACCATGCCCAGATAATTTTTGCATATTTAATAGAGATGGAGTTTCACCTTGTTGGCCAGGCTGAACTTGAACTCCTGACCTCAGGTGATCCACTCACCTCGGTCTCCAAAGTGCTGAGATTACAGGTGTGTGCTACCATGCCCAGTCTAAATAGCAATTTTCAAGTCTAGAAAATATACTGGAGTGGTTAATCAGATTTTCAAACCAAGGAGTCTTTTGAGATAAATCATGACATTACGGAGATCACTAGTAACCAAAGATACGTTAACATATCATGGATTTAAGATAAATGCCTAGTTGGTTTGATTCCAGAAACCAGGAAAGCATAATCACACTAAATCTTTTCACATCTACGTAATGGCTGAAAATACTGACCTTACCTACTCAACTGTAAACTTCTAAAGGACAGGATTATGCCATGTAAGTATTTGTCTGTCTTTCACAGTATTATACATATAATAGATACTCATAAATAGGTATAATTAATTCTTTATTATAAAAGTAAAATTATATTATTCTATAATTGGAAATTAAAATTAATTTAATTTTAATTTAGTTAGCAAGACTCAGTAGATATAAAATTCGAAAGTGAAAGACATGGCAGAGCTGCAGCTTTTCAAAAGAAATATTGAGAACCAAATTCATGCTGCTGCTTAACCTTTCACCTAGAGCCCCATGAGAGGGTGGCAGAGGGCCTGTTACATGTCCTCTGCAGTTGGGAGTGGGCATAGATCAGCTGCTTAGACAGAAGTGAAAGGTTTCCACTGCTTCATTAGAATCAGCCTAAATTCCCAGAATTTGAGGATGTATACATGTTTCCCACCAGTCAGATTGGGCATAGTGGGAGGGAGAGCCATCCTAGAAGGATGGGTGCAGAGTGCGATGGGTGGGATCTCAACAAAGAGAGTCTATATTTTGCAACTTAAAATGTGATTGAGCGTATATAGTGGAAATAATTAGAAAGTCATAGTATTAACTGAATTTTCATTCAGGAGCAGGGGAAGAATAATCCTTCAATGAACAGCTTTAGAGGGACTAAGGGAGACAAAAGTAGAGTTGCTGTTAATGTTGTACCTTAAGATCCATCCTTGTTCAACATGCAAATTAAAATACCATTATAGGCCAGGCACAGTGGCTCATGCCTGTAATCCCAGCACTTAGGGAGGCTGAGGTGGGCGGATCACTTGAGGTCAGGAGTTCAAGACCAGCCTGGCCAACATGGTGAAACCCTGTCTCTACTAAAAGTACAAAAATTAGCCAGGTGTGGTGGCAGGTGCCTGTAATCCCAGCTCCTTGGGAGGCTGAGGCAGAATGACTTGAACCTGGAAGGCAGAGGTGGCAGTGAGCTTCGATTGCACCACTGCACTCCAGCCTGGGCAACAGAAGGAACTCCATCTCAACAACAACAACAAAAAATTATAGAAAACAAAATTTAATTACAATTATAAAAATCTAAAAGATATTTGATATAAATGTAATTCACTGAAGAAGCACCTTAGATTTTGTATTTCCCCTTATGTTTCAGAGCAATTCTATTGGTTTTACTTCATATTTTTATGTTGGTGATGAGAAAATACTTAACCATTTGTAGGTTTCAGTAATTGAAATAATACTTTCTGGTAGTATTTTTCAAATAGGCCACAGGACCCATTTACAGGATTCAAAAGAGTTTTTCTTTATGTATGTTATATTTGTTAAATTAAAATTTGTATTAAAACATAAATTTTTAGTAGACATTCATTTTTTAAAAATTATGAATCTATTACCTAGAAAAGAGATACATTTTCATTCAGATCATCACTTTTCAGATCATTGTGGATACTTTCCTTTGATACCCCAAAACTCAGCACATGGTAATTGCTTAAGGGTTATTGCAATGTGGAAGTCAAAAACATATCAATGAACTTTTCATACATTCGTGTTATGATCCACTAGTCTGTCTTGAATTTTGAGTTGATCTTTACCCATGCATAATTTTGTAACATCATGCATTGGCAGTTTGGAAAATATTGGTTCTCTGAGTTATATAAATGTCTTATATATTGATACATTTCATTATCCAAAACAAAAATCAGTTGTTAATATCATGACTGATATCATTAGAAAGGACCTGGATAGCTTTCAAGATCACAGTGGCAGCTACAAGGCTTCCAAACTTCACTTGAAAGCTAAAGTTTCATCACTGATAACAAATCCTTGTCATTTGTTTTCTTTGAAACGATAGCCTCATTTCTCCCATTTTCACAAAATACTCTGCCAAGTACTCAAGTAAGAATAACCTTACACTGCCAGTCACTGTATTAGTCTGTTTTCACCCTGCTGATACAGACATACCTGAGACTGGGTAATTTATAAAGAAAAAGAGGTTTAATGGACTCAGTTCCACATGGCTGGGAAAGCCTCACAATTATGGCTGAAGGCAAAAGGCATGTCTTACATGGCAGCAGACGAGTGAGAATGAGGGCCAAGTGAAAGGGGTTTCCCCTTTTGAAACCATCAGCTCTCATGACACAATTTGCTATCACAAGAACAGCACAGGAAAGACTTGCCCCTATGATTCAATTACCTCCCACCGGGTCCCTCTCACAACATGTGAGAATTGTGATAGCTATAGTTCAAGATGAGATTTGGGTGGTGACACAGCCAAACCGTATCAGTCATTCTTTTAAAAAGTAAAAATGATGTTCCATGAGAAAAGTGACTAGTTCAGCTCACATCCCTGAAAGGGTCTCAAACTATAGAATATGCAGATCAGGCCAGGTGCGGTGGCTCATGCCTATA